GTATTAATTTTTTTCCACAAAAAATAGTCTAATTATAAAAAAATTCAAAAAAAAACTTTTTTAAAATCTTCAAGATTACTCTATAAAGTTTGAAATTCACTTCTCATTATTATTTTTTTTTCAATTTAAAATTGACAATTAGTGGTACCAACCTGACAAAAGTACTATTCTTAAAACAGTCAAAAATTACGTCAAAAATGTCACAATTGTGTCAAAATTCGCTTTCGTTGCCCTCCAAATCTCCCGTATCGATTCTTCACGTTCTAGTTCGTGCGTTTTGGGGGCGTCGTCGTCGCAGAGACGCCCGTCGTCGGTCTACAAACCGGCGCTAGATCGACAGTAGACCTGTTGTCGTCGTTGTATAAACACCCGAAAGACATATGGCCTAAGAAATACGACGCTGGTGAACAAAAACAGCACCCAAAAATATAGATTTTCGCAACAAAACAAGGTAAAATCCCAAATTTTAACTTCTCCTCAAATAAAAAAAAGTTGCACTTTTATGAAAAAAAAAAAACAAGAAAATTGAATCGAGATGTGATCGATAATCGTGTTGTTCGTGCACTTGAAAATGCAGAAATGCATGCGAAACTCTCACGGATGAGTTGTCATTTTCTATTTTCTGAAAAGCTCAACTTTGGAATTTTTTACAAAAAAATAAGTCTCAAATATATTTTTTTTGGTTGTTTTGAATTATATTCAAAAATATTTTTTGAAAATTTTTTTCAAATTTCAACTTGAAATTGTTTAGGTGCTAAAGTTAGCACCCTTAGTAACATATTTTTGGCCATAACTTCAAAACGGTAACTCAGAATTAAAATCTATTTGCAAATTCGTGTAATTTAGACCAAAATACATTACCGACGTTGATTTTCTCTTGAAAATTGTAGTTTTTAAATTTTGTGTTTTTTTTTTTGAAAAATAATTCACCTCCGATTTGAATGCAATTTTCAGGGAATATTCAATTAACTTAAAATAAACTAAATTTGAAATTTGGAACTTGAATTATTCCAAAAACTCTTCGTTTCCACTATATCTCATTTTATGTGACAAACGATATTTTTTTTTAATTTTCTTAAATCATTTTTTGATGGTATATAGGATTATAACATGTAAATTTCCAGTAGTTATAGTGAGACAAATATTTTCTGAAAATTTCGTTCCAATCAAACTAAAATTGTTTAGGTGCTAAAGTTAGCACCCATAGTAACATATTTTGGCCATAACTTCGAAACAGTAACTCAGAATTAAAATCTGTTTGCAAATTTGTTTAATTTAGGCCAAAATACATTACCGACGTTGATTTTCTCCTCAAATTTGTAGTCTTCAAAAAAATTTGAAAATTTTCATGTTTTTTTGAAAAATAATTTACCTCCGATTTGAGTGTAATTTTCAGGAAATGTTCAATTTGCTTAAAATAAAGTAAATTTAAAATTTGGAACTTGAAGTATTCCAAAAATTCTTCTTTTTCAATATTTACTAATTTTCTGTGACAAACCAAACTTTTTTTTTCTTTTTTTAAATTAATTTTTGATGGTGTATAGAATCATAACCTGTAAATTTCCTGTATTTATAAACAGACAAATAATCTCAAAAAATTTTGTTTAAATCCGGCTATAATTAGCTGAAGTAATAAGGGTGCTAAAATTAGCACCCAAGAAAACACATTTTTGGCCATAACTTCAAAACGGTAACTCGGAATTAAAATCTGTTTACAAACTCGTATAATTTGGGTCAAAATACATAAGAAATGTTAATTTTTATATCAAAATTTTGATTTTTATTAAAATTTTTGAAAATTTTAATCGTTTCAAAACTTGATCTGTAGCACTTTGGCTTAAAAATTACAATTATGTTTATATTCTCTTAAAAAATGTTTTGATTCTTATCAAAATAATGTCACAATAGGCTAAAATCAGCTTGAAACGGTTCAAATTTAAATGGAATTTTCGTGATTTGGGGCCTGATTTATCCTGAAAACTTCTTTTTCCCCACTATTTCTCACTTCATATGTGGCCAACAGTCCGTAACAATTGACTCTCAAACCGACATCATCCTTGGAATTTCATTCACTGCATTTGACATTTTTATTATCCCGATTTCAACTGAAACTCTTCGTATTTCACTCAAAAAAGCAAAATACGACACCGATTGCGTGTTTGAGGGAGGAAAAACGCATATTTCACCCTCAATTAAACAACAAACCATTTATTTTGAATTTATGCGTCCTCTGATAACAATAAATTAAAAAAAAATCGTCGATCTACATTTTAATTAAGCGTTTGCCTAGTCCTAGAACCTTGTTTCAAAGGAATTGACTTAATTACTCTCGAGGTAGTCACAAAGAAAACTTGCAGCGTATATAAACATGGAAAATAGTTTTTCTCGTCGCTTTTCCACACAATAAACTTCCGGTTTACGTATTCAAAGCGTGTGAAATATGGTCTCCTGCTCGGCTACGCCTCGGTAATAAAAAAAAAACAGAGTTTTAATCCCAACCTTGACTCGTAAACCCTTCAATGGCAGAATCGATTCCTCTAAATCCTCTCTTTCATTCAATTCGGTCGCTTCTTCGATTCAATTATCAAAGAAAAAGCAATTTTCCAATTTCGTTTGATTAATTTTTCTTTTGTGAAAGAGAGAAAAGATCAATGAACTTTGTTACCAAAACACAAACCTTCTACTTTTTGTTACAAGTTGTTAAACACAAATTATCGTTAAGAAAAAATATTTTTCAAAAAATTGAGACAAAATTTTCAAAAATTTTTCAAAAAAAATCTGATTTTGAAATAAAAATTAATGTTTGTAATGTATTTTGTTCCAAATTACACGAATTTGGAAAAAGATTTTAATTCCGAGTTACCGTTTCAAAGTTATAGGCAAAAATATATTCTTTGGGTGCTAACTTTAGCCCCCTGTTTAGCACCCATACTATTTTAGCCCAATTTGAACGAAATTTTCAGAAAATTTTTGTTTCACTTAAACTAGACAAAATTTCTAATTTACATTCTTAAAAACAGTCAAAAGCAAGCAAAAAATCAAAAATTTTTTTTTTTGAAGATTTTCTAATTTGAACAAAATTTTCAATTTTTTTGTGTGATTATAAATAACAAAGAGAGACTGAACTGGCACACAAACGTTTGATAGATGCGCATCTGAGCATTCCAACTATCGATTTCTCTAAATGTCACCGAAAAAAATTTGGTATTTATCGCACTAATCTCGTAAATTCCATCTGTCTGAAAGTCATTTGAGGATATGAAACGAGAAAATTTTAAATCAGTATAAAGCACGTATCAATCTGCAACAATTGTATCATATTAGGTGTATTGTTGTGTGTGAAAAGCGTGAATTTGTACGAAATCGGGATGATTGAAAAGGGTGATAAAGCACAAAAGATATTTATAAGAGTGTTTGGACTGTTTGGACAGCTAATAGCTCAAGCTCAAAGCTTTAGATTGCCTTTTTCATGTTTTCTAATTCTTTTTTCAGAAAAAAATTCATAAAAATTCGATTAAAACTAACTAGGATAGTAACGGTGCTAAAAAAAGGGAAAATTAGCACCCAAACTATTCTAATTTTGTCCATACCTTCAAAACCGTAACTCTGAATCAAAATCTGTTTGCAAATTCGTGTAATTTGAGTCCAAATACATAAGAAAATGTTACTTTTGTTTTGAAAAAAAAACATAAATTTGTAACCCCAAAAAAATAAATTTTCGTACTTTTACGCAATTTTTTTTGGAAATTTTGACAAAAATGGTCAAGGACAAGCAATGTGTAAGTTTTATAACCATTTTTGATAATTTTTTTTAGTAAAAATCAGACTAAATTCAACTGAGATAGTAACGGTACTAAAAAAGGGAAAATTAGCACCCAAACTAGTCTAATTTTGTCTATAACTTCAAAACCGTAACTCTGAATCAAAATCTGTTTACAAATTTGTATAATTTGGGTCAAAATACATAAATAATGTTACTTTTGTTTTGAAAAAATAAATAATGTTACTTTTGTTTTGAAAAAAACATAAATTTTTAACCCCAAAAAATACAATTTTCGTACTATAACGCATTTTTTTTTTGGACATTTTGACTAAAAGGGTCAAAGTCAATCAATGTGTGAATTTTATAACTATATTTGGTGATTTTTTTTAGTAAAAATCATACTAAATCCAACTGAGGAAGTAAGGGTGCTAAAAAAAAGGGAAAATTAGCACCCAAACAAGTCTAATTGGGTCCATAACTGCAAAACCGTAACTCTGAATCAAAATCTGTTTACAAATTCGTGTAATTTGGGCCCAATTACTTTAAAAAAATTTACTTTTGTTTTAAAAAAAAACATAAATTTTTAACCCCAAAAAATTAAATTTACGTACTTTTACGTAATTTTTTTTGGAAATTTTGACAAAAATGGTCAAGAACAAGCAATGTGTGAGTTTTATAACCATTTTTGATAATTTTTTTAGTAAAAATTAGACTAAATCCAACTGAAATAGTAACGGTGCTAAAAAAAGGAAAAATTAGCACCCAAGTTAGCCTATTTTTGCCATAACTTCAAAACGGTAACTTCAAATTAAAAACGGTTTTCAAATTTGAATTTTTTTTACAGTGTTGCCACCATGACGACTGAAGATAATGGAAATGTGGGCTTTTTAAAGCCAACATCGAGCAGTAACGAAGATTTGAGTGAATATACGGACGCCGATGAGAGTATTTCAGCGCCTACTGAGTTTCTAGCAGAGGTAGGTATGTTAACGATGACGCGAGATAAATCCGATTAGCAACCGGAAGTAATCAAAGTGACGGGAAATTGGGAGAGGAAAAAATTTTTAATGGTTGAGAGGGGTTCGAAAATGCATTAGGGAGTAAAAGCTGGATGTTGGCAAGATTTTTCGGTTTGTTGCCAATTAATCGAATTAGGATTTAGGATATTTGGGGATTTATAGCCCCAAGAAAAAGTCAGAAATCGACTGAAATTAGATTAAATTGTTTTGAAACTGGGTGCTCGTCTAGAACAAAATTACAAAGAAAACTGCAATAAGTTTTGATAATGAGTTGTGATAAATGAAAAATTGTAATAAATTATGATAAATAAATAAAATAAAATAAAATAAAAGCTTAAATTGTGATAAAAAAAAAGATTATCTCTGTTGATATACAAAAGCTGTGATAGACTGAGAAAAAATATGATAAACATAAATTTTGATAACTCGTGTTGATAAATTTATAATAAATTGTGCAAACTTATATTTAACAGAATTGAGAGAAAAAAATAAATGTATGATAAATTTAAATTGTGATAATGATAAAATTATGATAAATTGCCTCATCAAAAACTGAGAAGAATATGAAAAACTTAAATTGTGATAACTCACTAATAAATGCGTGATGATAAATTATCTCAATTGATATTCAAAAGCTGTGATAGACTGAGAAAAAATATGATAAACATAAATTGTGATAACAGAGCAATAATAAATTTGTGATAAATTATGCCCTAATTGTTATATAAAAGCTGAGATAAACGAAAAAAAAAATATAGTAAACATAAATTTTGATAAACTCGTGATGATAAATTCGTGTAACAAATTATTGTTCAAACGCCTATTTAAAAAGTGTTGTGATTAATGACTAGTAAACTCACGATGATAAAATTATGATAAATTGCCTAAATTAGTAATCAAAAGCTAAGAAATCCCGAGAAAAATATGATAAACTTAAATTGTGATAATAATTCACTAATCAAGTCGTGATGATAAATTGTCTCAAGTTACATGTAAAAGCTGGAATAAACTGAGAAATAATTGATAAATATAAATTGTGATAAATGAGTAAGCAATTCGCGATGATAAATTTGTGATAAATTGTTCTAATCAATAAACGCCAATTGAGAAAAATAAATGAGAAATCCAAATTGTGATAATTAAGTAATAAATTCGCGATGATAAATTTGTGACAAATTGTGCAAACTCATATTTAAAAGCTGGAATAAAAAGAACTGAGAAAAAATAAGTATGAAAAATTTAAATTGTGATAAATGACTACGTAGTAAATTCACGATGATAAAATTTTGATAAATTGCCTCAATTAATAATACAAAGCTAAAACAACCTGAGAAAAATATGATAAATAAAAATTCTGATAATTAAATAATAAATTCGCGATGATAAATTTGTGATGAATTTTGTTTTTAATTTTCAAAATTTTAACTTTAAAACTCAAAATACTAACTTCAACTCAGTGAATTTTGATACTATGCTAAAATTCTGAGTATATTTTTGAAAACTTAGTCTTACACTTGAAATTTTGTTACTGATTTTTGAAATTGTAACTTTAAAACACAAAATTCTGACTTCAAGTCTGTGAATTTTGCTATTTTGTCCTGAAATTTGGTTATTTTTTTGAAAACTGAGTCTTTAAAACATCAAATTTCGTCTTATATTTTTGAAATTACAACTTTGAAAGTCGAAATTCTGCCTTCAAATCTGTAAATTTTGACTTTCTGTTCAGAAATTCTCACTTTTTTTTAATTCAATTTTAAAAATCATCAAATTTCGTCTTTGATTTTCGAAATTACTTTAAAACACGAAATTCTAACTTGAAATTTGTGAAATTTGGAATTCTGACAAATTTTTTGAAAATTCACTCTTTAAAAACATTAAATTTCGCCTTTTAATTTTGGACTTCTTACTTTAAATTTCAAAATTGGGACTTCAAGTTTGTGAATTTTGACATTCGTCCTGAAATTCTGACTATTTTTTTGAAAAATCGATTTTTAAAAACACCAAATTTTGTCTTTAATTTTCCGAATTCTAACTTTAAAAATCAAAATACTGACTTCAAAGCTGTGAATTTTGCATTTCCAAAAATTCTATTTATTTTTTAATCCAGCCTTAGAAACATCAAATTTTGTCCTTTATATCCGAAATTCCAACTTTGAGAGTCGAAATTCTGCCTTTAAATCTGATATTTAATTTTGTCCTGAAATTCTGACAATTTTTTTCAAAATTCGGTTTTTCAAACTTGGAATTCTACCCTCAAATCTGCGAATTTAAGTACTCTGTCCTGAAATTTGGACTTCAAAAGTGGAAATTTGAACTATGTGACATAAAATACCGACTTTCAAAGTTGGAATTCTGCTTAATTCCGATATCTTAAATGTGAATTGTAACTCCGAAACTCAAAATTTGGACTTCAAAAGTGAGAATTCTAATTTCGAAACTCAAAAATTTAGACTTTCTGGCCTCGAATTCCGACTTTGAACTTCAAATTTTGATCTTTCAACTTACTCAAAGTTGGAACTTCAATCAAAATTTTAGTTTTTGAACTTTATAATTGATGATATAAGTAAGATATGTGATAATAATAGGATGAAGGAAAACTGTGATAAATTGTGAAAAAACAGAATAATTAATAAAATTATCAGCACAAATTGAGTAAAATGTGTGATAAACTGAAAAAATATGATAAAAACGTAAATTGAGGCTGAAACTTAAAAAAATGAATATTTTTTTAAAATTGTTTAGTTTAGTTTCACCTCAAAACTCCTCTTTAATTAAGGGTACATTGCGATTAGTCGCCGAATATTCAACCCTCTGAAATTTAATTAAAACTCGACTGGAGATCTCGCCACTTAACTGAAATAATCGCAACGAAAAATTTTGTTTCAGTTTCTATCGGCCGTAATGCTGAAAGATTACGTTACAGCATTAAAATACTGCAAACTGAGTAAGTTTTCATTCTTTTTTTTTGTTTTTTTTGTTAAAATACAACTTGCAGTCCTGCAATACGAGCCCAACAATGCGACAGCAAAGGAATTCTATCCTCTGATTCTGGAAAAGCTCCAGGAGAGTAAGTAAACACTTTTATCAAATTTTTTTTGTGATAATTTTCGTAAAGCTTTTACGAGTTCGCCGACGGAGGAGGAAAATAGTAGCAGTGAGGGTGAGGATGATGATGGACAACAACAACACAGTGAAGAGAATTCGTCGAGTAGTTCGGATTCGGATAGTGAAGAAAGTGAAGATGAGGAGGAGGAGGAGGAGGAGGAGGAGGAGGAGGAAGAGGAGGAAGATGAAGTTGGGAGAGATAAACAATCGAAAGGATCGTCAGATGGAGGAGATGCGACCACTGGAAGTTATTCGAGTCTTGAAGATGATGAAGCTGAAACGGATCAGTTGGCAGCACTGGCGGCCAAGTATCAGATTGATAATGTCAATCTGGGCAATGGAAATAAAATTTGTGAGTTTTGTTTGAAAATTCTGACTAAAAATACAACATTTTTGAAATTTAAACTTTAAAAA